TTGCTCAGGCTGGTCTCGAACTCCTGAGCTCAAGTGATCCACCCACCTCGGCCTCCCAGAGTGCTAGGATTACAGGCCTGAGCCACCACACTGGGCCTCATTTTTTTTTTAATGAAAAAAAAAATTTTGTCACTTTAGAGCCCAAAGGAAATTTGAACACAGCCAAGATATTTAATATTGTGAGATTATCACTCATTTTTTTAAGGCAGAATGATGATATTGAGGTTAAAAGACATACGAATATTTGGGGAGAGGAACAGCAGAGGTGAGACCAATGCTCACACCCAGGCCCCATCCCACGTATCGGTATTTCCATACAAATATTTATAGAAAAAATTATATGCTTGAATTTGCTTTAAAATAATGCAGGAAAGTGGGGGAGTGGATGGGGCAGGACGGGCCATGAGTTGCTGTGATTGATGTCAGACCCACGGGATTCGCTTTCTGCACTTTTCTATGTTCGAAATTCTTTCACTAAAGACAATGTGTGTGGCTGTTTCATGCTCTAGCAGCCTGAGAGGGCGCTACTGTCACAGGTGAGGGGTAGAACATCATTAAGAGCTGAGTTCTAAAGTCAGACTAGCTGGGTTCTAATCCCTTCTCTGACACTTACAAGCTACAAGATTTTTTTGTTGTTGTTTTGGTTTTTGTGTTTTGTTTGTTCGTTTTGAGACATAGTCTCGCTCTGTCGCCCCAGCTAGAGTACAGTGGTGTCATCATAGCTCACTGCAACCTCCAGCTCCTGGGCTCAAGCGATCCTCCTGCCTCAGCCTCCCGAGTAGCTGGGACTACAGGTGTGCACCACCACACCTGGCCAATTTTCTATTTTTTGTAGAGACGGGGTCTCGCTCTTGCTCAGGCTGGTCTCGAACTCCTGAGCTCAAGCAGTCTTCCTACCTCGGCCTCCCAGAGTGCTAGGATTACAGGCATGAGCCACGGCGCTCGGCCACAAGCTACAAGATTTTTGACCCTCTGTGCCTCTCCGTTTCCTTATCAGCAAAATAGGAAAAGTAATAACAGTATATGCGTCAGAGGGTGTTTGTGAGGCTTCCACAGCTACTTCATGAAACACAGTGCTTAATGACTAGTGAGTGCTTGATAAATATGTGCCAAGATCAGTAATATTATTCCTGGTTGACAACTAGGGCACAGGAAAGCGAAGTCACGTGCCCAAGGTCACACAGCTAGGAAGAGGCAAAGTCGGCATTTGTCTGAAGTCCCCTGGACATCCAGGTGGCCCCATCCCACACACCCTCCCAGGGGCCGGCCACCCCACCCCCAGCTCACCTGGCTGGTGTGATCAGCACCCATGTACAGCAACATCTGGACACAAGCCAGCCTCTCTTGGGCTTGGGCACTCAGCATCCGGGGACAGAGGTCGGGTGGGCGCATAGCGACGTTGAGAGCCAGGATGGCTGTGTGGAGCGGGGTGAGGCCTGTAGAATAGACAGTGAGGAACCCGCATCTGGATCACCCGCCCTGCCCAGTGTCACCCACCGCAACAGCCCCGCCCGCACCCAACTTACCCTCGAAGTCTCTGGCTTCAAGGTCAACCTGAACCCTTGAGTTAAACACAGCCTGGGAGGAAGAGAAGTGCGGGGTAAGGGTCTCCCCCAGGCCTCCTAACCCTGTCAATCAGCCCACCCCAAATACCCCACCTGCCCACCGGCCATACCGAGAGGACTCCCGGAAGCCCATAGGTGGCGGCCACATGCAAGACAGAACGTCCCTGATGGTCGGTGGCATTGGGCTCTGCTCCCAAGCTCAGCAGATCCTCCACTATCAGGGGCTGATTGGCAGCAGCAGCCACCAGGAGAGGGGTCTGCAGGTCACAGGAAAGATCAGTCTGGGCCCCCAGCAACCTCCCCTGTGAAAACCAAGAATCCAGGCTCCCAGCCCCCTCTGCCCTCAGACCCAGGAGTTCAGGTCCCCCGTGCCATCTTCTCCAGGATCCCGGAGCCTGCGCCCCCAGCTCTCTCCTCCCTGAGCCCAGAGTCCAGGCCCAGCCCTCACCTTGCCCTTGTGCTCACGAATGTCCAGATGTTGGTACACCTGGAGCACCTCAGCCGCAGCGTATGCTGCCCAGCGCAGCCCCCGAGCCGCAAACAGGTGCAGGAGCCTAAGGACAGGTGGGGGACAGCAGTGAGAACAGCCCCCAGCCAAGTCGAGAATCTGCAGATGACCCCACTCCCCTATACTCACGTGTCCCCCTCCTCATCCTGGGCCAGCAGCTGTTGTGGCCCCAAAGCCAGCATGTGAGCTCGGGCTGCTTCCAGGGATGGCCCAGTGACCACAGTGGGCAACTGTGGGGGTCCTGGGGGGAGCCCAGAAACTCTCCAGGATCCTGCCTGTGGCAGGGAAGGTTCTGCGTAGAGCCGAGTGTCCGGGGGTTCCTGAAGAGTGCGGGAGGCGGGGGGAGCCAGTCAGCTGAGAATCCCCCCTTTCCAACCCACCACACACACAGTACACAGCCCCTCAAGCACAGCCGTCGAGTGGCTGGGCATCCCATCTGTGCCAAGTGACCAAGGAAGGACCTTTAGGCCTCGGTTTTGCCCACTGGAGAATTGGGATCTTAACCCAGCCGTAGTCGCCTCAGAATACTACCTGAGGACACCTGGGAATTTTTACGGGCCCTTCGGCTTTCTGTCCCCACTCTGTATCTCACCTCCATCCCCAGGGGTAACGGGCACTGCTGCCCTGGGTTCGAGGGTGGGTAGAAGTCAGGAATCAGGAAACTTTCAGCAGCAGAAGCGGGGTAGGAGTAGAAACTGTCTGTGTAGACGGCATGCGTGTTGGGGTCCCAGTCTGGAAAGCCCATAGAGGGGGCCGAGCTGCCAGGTCCAGAGCCCACAGCCTCCTGGGGTGCTGGGAAGTGAGGATGGCCTGCGTGTACGAGGAGGGGCAGGGCAGGTCTGGTTACCGGAGTCGGGGAAGTCGCAGCAGGGCTGGAGGGCCTGGAGTCTCCCAAGGCGCTAAGAGCTAGTATTAATACTTCTGGGACCCCAAGGGCCTGGGCCCTGGACTCCTGGGGCACCACAAGGCTGGCAGCCTGGGCCCCTGGGACTCTGACGGACAATGCGCATAGACTCCCGGGCTCCAGAGACTCTGGGAGACCAAAGTGCTACTGAGTCCCAGCAAGAGTGAGGGCCTGACTCCCAGTGCCCCAGAGTTCTGAGAGTCCGAGTCCCCAAGGGGAGACGGGGCAGGGACAGAAGCTGACAGAAGCAGGTGAGGTTCCAGACTTACCAGCCTCAGCCTCACACACAGATGGGGTCAGGGGCTGCGACAGCGGAGACGGGAACTGTCCCTGTAGAGGCATTAGCAAAAAGGAGCGAAGGTGAATGTATCTGGCAGATTCCTCAGCACCCATTCCCGACCCGCAGGGCATCTGAGCCAGGACTGCATCTCTCGTCAGCGCTGGGAGCCCCGAAAGCCCGTAAGTCCCCGCCCGACCGCGCGCGGCCTCACCTGCGCCCCACCGGCGTCAGGCTGCTGCTGGCGGCGCCTCTGTTCTTCCAGGAGCTTCTTCACTGTCTGTGTCGGGCAGTGGCCGCGCTCACTCCGACTCACTGTGCGGGGAGGAGGGAGGGAAGACATCGGGGGTCGTTAAGTCACCTAAATGCACGGGGGCGGGGTGGATTTGGGCGCCCTCCCCGTCCTCCCGCGCGGAAAAACTGGCACATTGCTGCCGCTTGACTCCTCCAAAGCCATTAGAAGATTTGGGGTGGGGCGTCCGCCTCCGCCTCTGCCGTTTCCTTCCCTTTGCTCCGCACTTTCCCTCTGACCCAACTTTCCACCAGCGTGGTGGAAACTGAGGAAGGGGGAGGAGAGCGCCCCTCCGCAGCACCCCCCAACTTCCGTAAAAAAGTCCCACGCCCAGACCTCCCAGTCCTAGAGCCTCGGGGGTCGCAGGGCATCACGCCCTGGAGACGCACATCCAGGTTCCCAACGTCTCTCTGCGCCGGAAGCTGACCTGCCACTCTTTCCGCGAGAGACCCCTCCCGGAGGAGCCACGAGTCCGCAGTACCCCAGCTCGTCCGGGATCCGCAGGTCCCCACCGCCACCCTCCAGACTCGGCCGTCCCAGAGCCCAGCTCGCTCTTCCCCAGGACCCAGGAGCCCAGGCCCGCAGCCCCCTCCTCTCTAGGGCCAGGGGGTCCCCGATCCCGCACCCCTTCTCACGACCCCGGAAGGCGGGACCCTCGACCCTCACCCTCCCGAGCGCGGGCTCCGGAGGAGGAAGGGTTAAACGAGGGCGGGCGGACTCGGAACAGCCCAGAGGCGACGCGTGACGTCACGGCGCGGACGCAAGGGAATCTTCCACCGCCCCTTCCCCCGCGCCCCGGCGCGCAGGTGTCCGGCTGGGCGGCCGGGCGCGCGGCGGAGCGTGGCGCTCGCGGAATCCCCGCGCCGGGGGAATTCCTGCCGGCCCCGCACGGTGGCGATCCGGGGAATCCCGGGGCGGGCCGGGGTCGGCCGGTGTGGACCCTGCGGCCGGGCGCCGGACCTTCCTCCCCGCGGCCCGCGGCCGACTTGAAACGACCACGCTCCGGGGCACTCGGCGCAGCCCCTCCTTTAGAGGAAGAAGTCTCGGCCGCCGGCCCCCCCGTCCCCCACCGGACCGGCGGCGCAGCCTCCCACCGTTCACCCCCGGGACCCCGACTCTGCGTCGCCAGCCTCTCCCCCGCCACGACCTGGGGGTCCCGGCCCCCAGTCCGCCCCAAACACAGGGACCCTCAGTCTCTGCACCCAGGACTCGACGCTCCAGCGCCGTCCCTCGGGGACTCGGGAGTCCGATCCGCAGCCCCCCACCCTCGAGCTGAGCGCGCCCCCCACGCCGCCCATTACCTCGAGGGTTCCGGGGCGCGGATTGCGGGCCCCCAGGGCCGCGGCCTCGGCGCTGCGCCAGCCTCGCTGTTTCCCCGCGGAGCCGCCGCCGGGTCCCCGATCTCGGGTCGGGGCCCCCGCGAGTTTTTAAACTGGGGTTCTGGCACCACCCAGTCCTGGGCAGGGCCCTCCCACAGGCCTGGGAGTCCCCGCGTCGCGTCGCGCTCCAGCAAACCCCGTCTCCGCGTGGGCGGGGCTGAGCGGAGGGCCGGACTCCGGAGTCCCGCGGGCCGGGGGTCCAGGTCTGCGGTCCGAGGGGCCCAGTGTGCCGGACTCGGGAGGGAGGGCGACACTGGAGCCTGGACTTGTGCGTCTCTGTCCAACGGGGTGCTGGGTGGGGGCTTTGACTGCTGGGCCCTGGCCGGCGGGCTTGGGGTGTAGGGGGGTTGTGGGGGGCAGCATTACAGGGTCCTGGGGAAGGAGGGGACTGGGGTCGGGACTCCCGGATCCCCGGGGAGGTCTGTAGGTCAGGGTAATACAGGTACGCTCAAGTTTCTCCCTCTCCCCGCGTCGTTCTCCTTTTTCGGAGCTCGGGTTTCGTGCCTGCGCCCATCATTGGAAATCATGTACTGCTTTGCCGGTGCTCTGGCCGGGCTGTGAGCTACGCAGGCAGGAATTCCCGGCCCTCGGCTGACTGACATTCCAGTGGGAGGCTGTTCTCAGTTCCCACCTGGTGACCAGCCCCGCAGTGACTGTGCTGACCACATTTCTCCCCTGCTGTCAGGACTCCGTGCTCTCCTGGGTCTGCTCCCTTACTCGCTCCTCCTCCTCTGCTTTCCTGGCCGGTTCCCCGACTTCTCCCGTGCAGTGGGGGGCGGAGGGCGGGTTCTCCGTCTGTACTCACTTCCTTGGTGATCTCATCCAGTCCCGTGGCTCTAAGTACCATCCAGAAGCTGTCAACCCCCACATTTACATCTCCAGACCAGACTTAGCCCCTGAACTCATAAATGCAGCTGTGGTCACTGACCACCTCCACAGGGACATTATCGAGGGCATTTCCAGCTCCCTGTGCCCGGACCTTGGCACTTTCCCCTCAAACCCACTTCCCCCATTCTCCGTCTCTGCGCATGGACGCCCCATCTCTTCAGTTTTCCAGGCCAGAATCCTTGGCCATACTGGACCTCTCTCATACACACCCACATCCATTTCATCAGCAAATTTTGTTGGCTCTACCTCCGAAATATTTCCAGATCTCCCCAGCACCCACACCCCGGTCCCCCTGTCACTCGTCCTTGGACCATCGCAGCAGCCTCCCTGGTCTCTCTCACCCTGCCCCCCAGGTTGTTCCCCAAAGGCGGTAACAGAGTCACCCCACACCACACACACACACACACAGGAAGCAGATGGTCTTGCCACCAGCAGTGTGACATCCGCTATTGCTACTTCTCTACTTCCCCACTGTTCTTCAGGACCTCTCTGGACCACAGCCCTTTGCCAGACCCTTCCAGACCCCAGCCCACCATGGTCCCTCCAGGCCACATCCTGCTCCTGTTTTTGCTCCCAGGTGAAGCCAGCGGTTATGGGGATGGCAGGCAGAGCATTCCTGAGAAGGGTGGCTTGGGTGACATCTGAAGGGAGGGGCACTGAGGATGGGGTCCTTCTCCCTGTGCCCCTTCCCTTCCTGGAGATCCATTCGGCTTCAGGGCCTGGCTCCCTGGGGGGAGTGGCAGGCGAGGCAGAGAGTTGTGGAGCGGCTGCTGCCTGTCCACCTCCCCTTCTCAGTGCCTGGTCTCTGCTGCTAGTTCCCACTTCCTGTCTGTCTCTCGGAGCTCCCCTTCCCATTTGCCCCCCTTTCCCATCCCGTCTCTCCCGTGCGGAGGTGACTTCTCCAGATATCGCCTTTCCCTGCGCCCTGTTTTGGAAGTCACCTCTCCCCGCTCATCCACCTCTCTCTTTCCGCAGTGGCTGCAGCTCAGACAACCCCAGGTGAGAAATCGCTCCCCCACTTTCGCCCTGGCTTCAGGTACCACTTCCATCCCAAAAGCTTGGCCCGAGGGTCCCAGAACACTCCAGTGACTCTCCAGGTCACCTAGTTCTCCTCTCTCATCCTCAAATCAGAGCCCCCCGAGGATCTGCGGCCTTCTCAGGGTCCCATCTGGCCTTCTCATCACCAACTCAAAGCCCTGGGGAATCAGTGACCCCCAGCCTCTCTTCGGAAGCACCCCATGTGCCCGGCGCACAGCCCCGAGGGTCCGGGGACACCTGGCCTCTCTGGGTCTCCATCCCCCTTCCGTTCCCCGCGTGCAAGGGAATCTGGGCTCTGCCTCCCTCACAGGGGACTTCCCTGGCTCCCTATGACCCAAGCTCAGCCCCGGGATCCAGAACCCGCCTGAGCTGCCTTCTGTGTCGCCCCCACTCTCCAGGGTCCTGCTCCGGATGTGGGCCCCTCTCCCTGCCACTCCTGGCGGGCCTGGTGGCCGCTGACGCGGTCATATCACTGCTAATTGTGGGGGCGGTGTTCCTGTGTGCTCGCCTAGGCCACAGGCCCACCCAAGGTGAGGATAGGGAAGAGGTGGGGCCTGGAGGGTGGGTGGTATCCCTAGGGAGGGGGTCCCATGGAGGGGACCCCTGGGGAAGCCCTGGAGGAGGTTCTGGGGAAACCCTGGGGGAGGTGCCTGGGGGAACCCCTGAGGAAACCCCTGAGGCAGGGGGTCCCCAGGGAGGTGGTGGGCGGTCAGGCTTCATGCTTTCTCTCCCCCACCCCCAGAAGATGGCAGAGTCTACATCAACATGCCTGGCAGGGGCTGACCCCCTGTAACTTCGACCTTTGACCTCTGACCCTCTCATACTAGATGGTGTGTGGTGGCCCAGGAACACCCTCCTCCCTTTGGGGTTGGAATAAAGCAATTGAAGTACCTGTAGTTGTATTCTTCCTCAAAGAACTCCAGGGTTCCCAAAGGCTCCCTCCCATTTAGCTATTCGAGGTCCAAGACCCCCTCAGGACCCCACATATCCACATCCTTGGGCCCAGGGATCTGGCATAACTCAACAATGTTTTTGTGCTTCATGTTTATTTGGGGGCAGCAGTGAGGAGAGGCGTGATATCTCAGGGAGGGCACTCTGTGGGTCTATATCTTGGTAGGCAATGAGGTGCTGGGTGGGCATCAGGAATGGCTGGATCCAGGCATCAGGTTGTTGCCCGGCGTGGTTTGGGCTCATTTGTAATACTGCCTCTGTGTGTTGAGGTCGCTGTAGACATCTGACCTCTGACCCTGGAGCTCCTAAAGGAATGGAGCCATCAGTGGAAGGGGTCCACCAGATAAAAACAAAACCCAGCCTTCTTCCAGTGGCCTGCAAGGCCCCTGGCAGCTTCTTCAACCTCGAAGCCACAGAAGAGAGCTGGATTTTATTCAAATGCATTCTGCGTTCCCCTTGTCCCTCTGCCTCATCGTTATGCCCCAGCCTCAGAACCTTGACACGTGCGGTTCCCTCTGCCTGGAACATCAGTCCCCCGCTCTTTGGTCTCCTCCGTCTTCAAGTCTCAGCTCCTGTCGCCTCGTCAGAGAGGCATTTCTCAAAGTCCCCGTCTATAGTTTCTTCCCCCCACGCCCCAGCCACTGTTACAACAGCCCGCTCTAGTTCCTCCGTAGCGCCTCCCAAAATGATTTCATCGGTTAATCTGCTTCAGGTCTCCCCAACTAGGATGTAAACTCCGCTGCGGCATCTAGCACGCATAGGTGCTCCACACATCCCCTGAACGGGTGAATAAACTGGGGCTTTGCTCTAAACTTTCACTGCCCCCAGTAACTGGAAAGCCCGCCCCCCCCCCACCGTCTTCTGGACCTCACAGAACCAAACTTGACATTCTTATACAAATGAGTAGTCTGGGGGTGCATTTTTCCGGGGAGGGTCTCCGAGGATCTCGTGACCCCCTAAAGGCTTAAGAAGGAGCGTAAGGAGCGTTGACACAGACGGGGAGAGACGTCCTGATGCCCCCGTCTGCACCGTGGTTTGTAGGAAGGGCTTCAAGGACTCTCGCACCCACCGCCCCTAGATTATTTGCACAATCGTGTATTTTTTGCCTGGATCTTTCTGAGGAGCCTCTAGCTTTTGTCAGCTTCCCAAAGAGATGCAGGAGCCTCCCCCCACGCCCCCCACCAAAAATTCTAGCACTCCTCTCTTTAGAGTTGTCAGACTCGAGGTGAGTTATATCCTCTGCCCTATGGAGAGCTTCTCCCAGAAATCGGCCTGTCCTAGGGCCGGGTTTTTTCCAGAACAATTTAGGGCCGGCCTTCCGGTGAGGCCCGCACTTGCCCTTACAGAGGCAAAGCGACGCCTCTGTTTCCTCCGCGCACAACTTACGCTGAGCACAAGGCTGTGGATGGTAATTTAACACAATTTTGGACGGACACCCCATGTGCCTTCAGGGTTTTGGGGAGCTCCTGGGAAAGTGGCCTTAGGATCCCCAGGAGGGGACGGGGGTATTCAGGACAGACACCACAAGGCAGGTGTGAGAGATGAGAGAGAGAGGCTGGTTTTCTCACCTGATACGGTGACTCAGTCTCGGTCATGCGCTGTTTCCGGGCCACTGCTGGAGTTGGGAGGGGGGCGCAGGGCGCAAAGACAGACAGGGCCGTGATCGGGACTATTTTGTTGTTTCAAAATCAGCCCCTCCGTCTCCGTCCCTTTGGGCGTTTGTGACACGGAGCTTACCCACCCCCGACCAAGCAAGTCCTCGAGTGCCCCAGGCTGGCCCCTGCCAGCCCCACTCACCCTCCGCAGCCCCTTGGCCCCGAGGCACCAGGCGGCCCAGCGAGTACACAGCCAGGGCAATGAGCAGGGTGAGCACCAGGTCCCCCAGCACGATCCCCGCCAGCACGCCGGGGCTCACCGAGGCGCAGTTGCATTCTGGGAACACGGCACGGGGGTCAGGGAGGTCAGTGTGGGTTGGGACTAGGGGGGAGGGTGTCCACAGGGGGAGGTTTGGAAAGACTGGGGAAGGGCCGGGGAGATGGGGAGGACTTTGGGAGGTAGGGAGAGGGGTTGCAGGGTCTAGGCCTACCACTCTGGGCCTGCACAGGACTGAGACCTGAGGAGGGAAAAGGAGGGTAGACTGAGGCACGGAGCTACGATGGGGGGCGTGTACAAGCTGGCGAGGGTGGGTCCTAACGGCCAGGAGGCAAGGGTGGACAGCAGCGTCTGGCAGGACCTGGTGGGCTGGTGTCTAGGCTCTTGGACTGTGTGACTTCTACAGCGACTTGTCCTATTGTGACACCCTTAAGTGTCCCCTCCCCCTGCTTCTACCGGAGGCTACATTTTGGCAACCCAGGCTCTGAGAGGGATCCGCATGCTATGAGGAGCTGGGGACCTGCTCACGTCCCAGCCCCTCCCTTGGTTCTCTCCTTCCACCCGGCTCCTTGCCGTGCCCCCAGCTGAACCCAGGGACTCAGCAGTGACAGCTGCAGAAGCCCCCAACTCACCACCCACAGTCAGAAGGAGGGGCAGGAACAGCAGCCTGCTGGAGGGTTCGAGGCCCCCCATGATGCCAGGACACCAATGGACACCACAGTCCGAGGGCCGGTGGTCTGTGGCGTAGCGTCCAACTAAGCGAAGGAGGAAGTCTGGGGAGGGTGGTGGCAGGAGGGAGGAGGAGACAATAGGGGAGGAGGGACAGAGAAAGACAACACCAGAAAGAAGCGGGCCCAACAATTGACCTCCATCGCCAACCAGGGGTCAGACATCATTGTAACAGGAGGGTCAGTGGCTCGGCCCTCCTCCGGTTGATCGAAGCCAGCTCCGCTTCCCCCTGGCTGGCAACCTTGAGCAAGTCACTCAACCTCTCTGGGCCTCAGTTTGTTCGTCTGTAAAATTGGGAGTACAATAGTACCTACTTTGTAGGGTTGTTACGGGACTTAAATGAATTAATGTTCCTGAAACATGATCTGACACTCGTCAGCTTTTTTATAAGCATCAGCTACAGTTAGTATTATTTGATCATCGGAAGCTTGTGATGGGCATGGGACGTTAAAAGAGCTATCAGCGTGTGGGCTGTGATGGCAGGCAGGCTCTCTGCCCAGGTGTTAAATCGTTTCATCCCGCCACACCTTCTTATCATCCCCACTTTACAGAGAGGTGAAGACATTTGCCCAAGGTCACCCAGCAAATAAAAGGCAGGTGGAACCCAGGACCTAAAGACAGATTTTTGACTCTTAGAGAGAAAGGGAAAAATAGATGAAAGATGGGGAAGGAGAAAAGGCCAGCGAGCCGAGGGAGGGGGTGAGGGTTAGAGAGCAGGGCGGGTGCATGCGGCGCAGGGACGGGATTGGGCTCGGGCTGGCAGGTGGCTGGGCTGCTCAATGAGGAAGTGGCTGGAAGCAAGGACAGAGGGAGGCCACCTCGGTGGGAGGAGACAAGGACTTCTAGCCCCCAGCGGGAGCCTCAGTTGAAACCGGGGAAGGAGGAACCTGAGGTCAGGGTGCTGGGGTTACGCCAGCTGCAGAAAGTCCCCCCGGCCCCATCGTACCCACGGCCCCCAGGCCTGGGCTCAGGACAGAAAAGGTCGGTCAAGGTGCCAAAGCTGAGTGGCTGGTGGGGGAGGGGAGGGGAGGGCATTTGGAGTCTAGAGGAGGGTCCAGGCCCAGCTGGGGCGACACTGACTGCTAACGGCCGCCATTGCCCAGGCCTAGTTGAGTCCTGTCCCTAAAGACCCCAAACCTTTCCCATTATTAGGTCCAGAGCCTGCA